GCATAGGCCTGTTCACCCCCTATGTCTCAAGGCAAGAAAACTCTGAAGGGTCATCTGAGCTCCAGAGCTCCCTTTCGGGTCATCCTTTGTTGCACCTGGATTGCAGCTCAATTTCTTCCTCTGCCCATCCTACTGCCTTCATTCTTCCACACATATTGTTTCTCAGAGCACTCTAATACATTGGCCCACATGCTTGTCTCCATCTCAAACTATTTCATGGAGAATCCACATAAGACATCTCTTTAGACTTGCTCAGAGAAGTATGATTCATATAGAAACTTTTAATAAAGCTCAGGAATTCTTTATAATGACTTTAATTCAACAAAATTTATTAAACATCTATGATGTTCTAGACATTGTGCTAAGCACTAAAAATATAAAGTTAAACAAAATTGAATTAAGACAAATTGATCTCAAGGAAATTGCTGGCATGAAATACAGATGTTATAAGTGAATATAATTCAAATGAGATAGGCCCTATGTTACGAATATGGACCAACTGCTCTGAAAGTATTGAGAAAGGGATGCCTATCACTCTGGAGACCCAGACTTCACTAAAGACATTTGAAAGAAATCCTTAAAAAACTCAAGACTTCTGAATCTTTCTTTCCTCTTTTTCTCTCACAAAATCTCACAAAATCCAATCTCTCAGCAAAAGCTATTACCTTTGCTTTACCATGTATCTAGAATCCAGACTGCCCCACGTCTACTGCTTCTAATCTGTGCTCACCTGCCATCTTTCACAGTCACAGCCTCAAGACTGGGCTTCTCATTTCCACCCTTGCCCCTCATGGTCTATCCTCAACATAGCAGTCAGGTGATACTGTTAAAATGGAAGTCAGGGCATGAATTCTTCTGCTGAAGACATTCCAAAGTTGTCATCTCATACTAAGAACCAAGTATATTATGCCTACAGGGTCCTAGGCCATCTCCACACTGCCCATCTTGTCCTTACCTCCATGCTATACCTTTCTCAGTTCATCCAGGAGTCCCCTTTCATTCACTCCCTTCCAGCCACTGTGGCCAATTTGGTCTTCTTGGAACTGCCCAGCGCACTCCCGCCTCAGGGTACCTGAACTTGTGTCACTTGTTGTCCCTTCTGCCTTACTCCCTCCCTCCCTTCCTCAGGTTTCTTTAACTGTGGACTTCTTCCTGAGGACTCCTTTGACCACCCTCGCTTAGCACTCCATAGCCCCCTTTCCTGTTTGGTTTGTTTATATACCTTACCACATGCTCTGAACCTGATTATCATTTATTTTGTTTAGAGTTTGCTCTTCCTCACCAGAACATTAGCTCTAGAAGGAAGGGCAAGGACCATCACATGCTTTGTTTCTGGCTCCATACCCAACACCTACAATTGTCCCAAGAACAGAGAAAATGTTTACAAAATATTGGCTGAATAAATGAATTCTTACAAATAATGATGAAGGGGAAGAGAAGAGTGAAACTCTTAATTGTGAACAATAGCTGGAAAGCATAGAAGTCAAAGTACTTGTAATATAATGTGATTAGAATGGAGAAATTCTTATGGTCAAAGATGGAGACATAGGTTAGAAATGTAAACCATGAAATATGGTTGTTATGGATTGACTGAATTGTATTCCCCTGCCAAAATTCACATGTTGAGCTCGTAAACCCCAGTATCTCAGCCTGTGACTTTATTTGGAGATAAAAAGGCCTTTAAAGAGGTAACTAAGTTAAAATGAGGCCTTTAAGGTGGTCCCAGTCCAATATGATTGATAATATTATTAGGAAGAAAAATTTGGACCTGGATAGTTTCAGAGGGAAGACCATGTGAAGACACAGAGAAGATGACTATCTAAAAGCCAAGGTCAGAAGCTTCAGAAAAAATCAATACTGCCAGCACATTGATCTCAGATTTCTAGCTTCCAGAACTGTGAGAATAATTAATTTCTATTGTTTAATCCACCCACTCAGTGGTATTTTGTTATGGTAGCCCTAACAAATGAATATAATGATATATATATGACATTGGAATGAATTTTTACTTTATCACATAAGCAACTGTAAAATTTTTAAGCAGGTAGAGGTGAGATGAGACCTGAATTTTAGGTAGGTTGCACTTGTGGTAATATGGAAAAAGGATTGGAAAAGAAGAGACCTGAGCTATCAACACTAACTGGGAAGTGTTTGCAATGGTTTATCAAGGTGAAGGGAAAGAAGAGACAGGAATAGAACTGGGAAAGCACCAGAGCCAGGATTATTGGGACTTATTGATACATTAGTGGTAAGCGATATTGCCACCTGCCACAAAAGGGAATTTAGTAAACCACAGACCTGCAAAGCAGTTCAGATAATAAAACTTACATGGATTTCACTGGGCTCATACTTGAGAAAATTTCTCAATATGGAACCTTAAAACAGATTATAGCATCATTCTTATTGCTTAAGATGTGAATGGTATTCATTGAAAGTAGGTTCCTGCAGTATGGTACTGGCATAAAAACAGGCACATAGATGAATGGAACAGAATAGAGAGCCCAGAAAAAAATCCATGCATATATGGGCAGTTAGTCTATGACAATGGAAGCAAGAATTTACATTGGGGTTAAGATAGTCTATTTAATGAATGGTGCTGGGAAAATTGGACTGACACATGCAAAAAAATAAAACTGGACCACCTCCTTATGCCATGTACAAGAACAAATTCAAAATGGATTATAGACTTAAATGTAAGACTTGAAACCATAAAACTTCTAGAAGAAAATATAGGGTCTAAATTTGCAGACATTACCCTGAGCAATATATTTACTGATACATCCCTGTGGGCAAGGGAAGTAAAATAAAAAATGAACATATGGGATTACATCAAACTTAAAAGTTTTTTCACAACAAAGAAAACCAACAATAAAACAACAAAGAAGCCTACTGAATGGGAGAAGATATTTGTCAATGAGATATCTGATAAGGGGTTAATATCCAAAATTTATAAAACACTCATACAACTTAACACCAAAAAACAAACAACCCAATTAAAAAATGGGCAGAGGATATGAAGAGACATTTCTCTAAAGAGGACATACAGATGGCCAACAGGCATATGAAAAAGTGTTAAACCTCACTAATCATTAGAGAAATGCAAATAAAAACCACAATGAGATGCCACCTCACCCCAGTCAGAATAGCTATCACCAATAACTCAGCAAAGAANCAAACAACCCAATTAAAAAATGGGCAGAGGATATGAAGAGACATTTCTCTAAAGAGGACATACAGATGGCCAACAGGCATATGAAAAAATGCTCAACCTCATTAATCATTAGGGAGATGCAAATAAAAACCACAATGAGATACCACTTCACTCCGGTCAGAATGGCTACCATCAATAAGTCAACAAACAACAAATGTTGGCAAAGTTGTGGGGAAAAGAACCCTGGTGCACTGTTGGTGGGACTGCAGACTGGTGCAGCCACAATGGAAATCAGTATGAAGGTATCTCAAAAACTGGAAATGGAACTATCTTATGACCCAGCAATTCCACTCTTAGGTATTTATCCAGAAAAACCCAAGACATTAATTCAAAAAATATATATGCACCCCTATGTTCATTGTGGCGCTATTCACAATAGCCAAGACTTGGAAACAACCAAAATGCCCATCAGTAGATGACTGGGTTAAGAAACTATGGCACATTTACACAATGGAGTATTATTCAGCTATAAAGAAGAAGGAAATTGTACCATTTGCAATGATATGGATGGACCTAGAAAACATTATGCTAAGTGAAATAAGTCAGAGAAAGACAAATACCATATGATCTCACTTATATGTGGAATCTAAAAATATGAATAAATGAGAAATCTAAACAGAAGTAATCTCAGAGACACAGAGGAAAAACTGATGATTGCTAGATGGGACGGGGGAGGGGATGAGGGAGAAGGGGAAGGGATGAGACAACATAAATTGGTAACTACAATATGGTCTCAGGGATAGAAAAGACAGTCTGGGGAATATAATCAATAATGTTGTAAATATTTTTTAGGGAGCCAGTTGGACTCATGTCTGGTCAGGGAGACTACTTCATAGACAGTAAAGAGGCCTGACCACTGCACTGTATTTCTGAAGCTGATGTTGAATAATATTGTATGTCAACTACAATTATATATACATATAGTCACAGGATGTGGAGTAGAGTGTGGGAATGGAGTCAATGGAATTGTAATAGATATGTATGATATCGGGGGTGGGAGGGCAGTGGATGGGGGAGGGGGGTTGTTACTTTGTGAGGGGTGAAAAAGATAACTATTGCATTGTTTTGTATACCTGAAACTAATAATAAAAAAAATAAAAATAAAATGAAATGATATTTTAAAAAAAAGAAAATAGGTTCTGTAGAAAGAGCTGCAGGCTGTATCTCCTTGTTGGTGATAATATTAGCATATTTGATTAGCATATTAAGTATTAGCATATTAAAGAATTTGAGAAGTTTTGCAATGAAGAAACCTCTTTAAGTTTGGCTGAAAAAAAAAAAGTAATTGCAACACCTATTTGATTACAGAGCCGTTTTTGTGAGGAACCGTTTAACCTCTCCCTGAGCACGAATGCTCTAGAAATTAACACAGTGTGGAAAATAGTGGTAATTTTGATTCACTAGAACATTTCCAAAATAAATAGAGAACTTTGTCTGGGTAATCTCTGTTTCCAATAGCAAAACTAGTTGGCACTGTCTTAACAAATTGGCAGAATAAACTCATTAAAGAAATATAGTTGGTTTTCCTATAAACTAATTATTACAGATTTTAAAAAATCAGATTCTCTTGAAAGTAGTACTCATTCTTTCATGTCCCTAAAGGAAAACTACTCAGTGCCTTGAAACAGAAAATAACAGTCTAGTGACTTAAGGGGAAAGCATAGCTCAACCCAGAAATCTGGGAGCCTTTTTTAACCAGGTTTCTTTGACGCTAGGGCAAGTCACAGTCTACGTTTTCCAATATTCCATCAGCTTCCTAAATCCACGGGGTCCATGCACAGTGACTCACATGCAATGCGCACGTAGGCTTTCCGGCTCTTTGTGGTACCGGCTGAGCTCCAGGCCACACACTGGCACCAGTAATCTTCAGGCCCAAAGAGTTCTTCCACTTGCTGGCGCGAAATCTCAATGCTTACTTCCCGGACAATGAGACCTAACCAGAGAAAGGAAGATCTAAGTCAGGAGATTTATACTAAAGAAATACAAAACATCATACCATAGTTATTCCCTCAGTGATCCTTCTTGATGTCATAGATCAACATCCAAGATATTGCCTCTCATATCCTCTGATTTCCCTCTGGCTCCAGTTTCTTGATTCGCAACTTTTTTCATTCTCTTATTTGTTATTTCAAATCTTCTGGATTCATCAGAAGTTGAAAGTGAAAATCTGTCACTCCACAAAATTCCACATTTCCTCGAATGGCTTGACTAATATTCATCCTTCACCAAGTTATCTCCCTCTGTATACGTAAATGTTTACTTGTATTTCTCAAATTCTAAAGATTCTACCTCAATTATATAGGTTGTGGGTAAGATACCCATATGTTATACATAAAATTACAAATCTGAATGCTCCTAGGAAGATTTAGTTCACATGAAATAGAACCACCTAAAACTATAATCATAAGTCATAAATTATAAATACATACACTTATACATCAGGTTTTATTATATCATCTGATCATTTATAAATTTGTGGTAATTATTTAACAACTAAATTACTTTAACAGTTGTGTTTCAGCTATTAAGGCAAACTTCTTTTTTTGAAAGATAGACCAGCCTTAGTTAACAAACCATGCTGTTAAATCTAAAGAATGTGTAACTTTAAGGTTTTCATGCATAATATTTTGAAAACCCAAATGTTTCTCTATAATTGTAATGTAACCAAAATCCTGTTAAAGGTAAAGTGGCCTCCAGCTGAAAAGATCAAATAATTGGAATTTGTTTCACAGAATTATGTAATTCTAAATAACAAAAATTGAACTAAAACTCTGGGATTATCATTTTAGGAGTATCTATTTTGAGGTATCAAAACCTATTTCAGAGATCGGTTCTGCAGTGCGCCCCTTTGCACTGAGTAAGAAGAATTATCTAAACAATATATGCAGGTAACTGCCAGTGCTCCTGGAGAATGAAAGTACACACTTCAAGAATGGAGTTTGTATTGAGAGAACTAACGGGTGCCCTTAGGGAGTACAAGAATTTGCTCTGGGTCAAGTATGAACACAGGAAGAAAGATTAAATATATTGCTTTGTACTGTTTATTCATTCATCCATTCATTCATTCATTGAACAAATATTTTTCAAGTATCAATCATGTAAAAGACACTGCACTAGGTACTTGGGAAATAATGAGGAAGATAGTCATTGTCCTCAATGAACTAATATTTTTGTGTGGGGGGCACATATTAACTACCGGTTATACACTTTATTATTTAATTATAATTGTGTTCAGTGCTGCAAAGGAGACATATAAGGACAATGAGAATGATAACAAGGGGACCCAACTTAGGAAAGATCCAACATGAGTTATGTTGGTTGAATTATATGAGGAGAGGGACAGGACACATGGGAAGAAACAGGAAAGATAATGAGAAGATTAAGGACCCCAGAGAAGATAATTAAGCACCAGACAGAGAATAAAGGCATGGGATGAAACTAGAGAGAAGAAAGGGGCTAGTTTATATAGCCTTGTAGACTGGTGGTTCTCAGAGTGGACCCCAGTACAGCTTCATCAGCATCACCTGGAATTTGTTGGAAAGGTGAATCCTTGGGACCCACTTGAGATTCGCTGAATAAGAATCTGAGAATTGGGCCCACAATCTGTGTTTTAACAAGCCCTCCAAGAATTCTGATGCATGCTACAGTTTGAGAACCACTATTGTATACCATGTTTAGGATTTGGGATTTCTTCCTGAAAGCCATGGATATCACTAAAGTGTTTTAAGCAAGAAGATGATGTAATCAGATCATTTAAAATTACATGTATATGATATGTTCAAGATACAGAGTTTAGTTCTTCAGAGTTTCATTAGTTATGAAAAGTGATGATTTCTTAAAATGTTTCATCATGGCTTGTTACAGGTGACATGAGAGAGTTTTCATCTAGAGATCCTAAAAAAGAGTATTCCAGAAATTAACCTAAAGCCTAGGACATGCTCAGATGGGTAACATCACTCAGGGAAATTAACAACCATCCAACAGAAGTAGGCTCTTTCACAGGGAATAAATGGTATTTCCTATCAAGAGGTGATGAGACTTGAGTCACAGAAAAGCCGTTAGGAGCACTCGAGAGTCCTTACACAGGAAGAAGCCCAGGAAAGGGGGGTTTACAACCCCAAGCAGGGCAATGGCACAGAAGGAACAATTCAATTGTCAAAAGTGTATTGAGTATATTTAAAATTAATTTAAAGTTTTGAAAATTAGTAATCCTTGTATGTTTAGATAGTGATCAGCTTAAAAAGAATGTTCGAGTACCTGGAATATCCTAACCCCTCATCCCTCTATGAAAAGATTAGCATATTATTTTAGCTAATGTCCACCTAGTAAAATCATCACCACAGCAAAAAATTCCAACTTATTAACAAGTAGCACTACTTCCTGGCCCCTTTCCTGGCCCCTGCATAGGACTTTCATTTTCCTATCTTTTTATAATTATTTTTCTAATATCTAGAAATTCATGCAAAGATAGAACACAGCTTTCCCACCCCTCCCCTCCATCTTTCTTTTAATTCCCCTCTCTGATATTTAATCCTTTTGCCTGTTTTACTTGTGGATATCTTTTTTTTTCGTGCTGCAATTCACTTACTGGAAACAAAACTCTTCTTGTAAACTTGTCGCAGTAATTTCCAGTAACCAAAGGGCTGATAAACCTGCATTGTGTATGTCCTTAGAACTATAATGGCTGTTTCCAAAATGCAGAGCAGCAGCAAATGGGCTCAGGATATTAAAACCACATACAAACATTGTGTTTCCCAAGATGATATTCAGGTTTCATCCCCCACCACTCCTTTTACTTAAAGCCATTACAGGAAACCTAATGAAATGCTAGGGGAACTTCACTAAAGCCCTGTATCCTTTAGTCCAAATAGGCTCATGGATATTTCTACTGACCACAGATCTGAAGCCTTTTAAGAAGCCACAGACTGAGTCTCCTGCTCCAGGAATTATTTGTGGTATGAATGTTCTGAATTGTGTGGCCCAGGCTCTCTGTGGGCACTGGGGCAAGCACACACCAATTTCTGTCTTCAGCTACACAGATGCCCCATTCAGGAGGGGATGGACTATTCACAGTGTGTACAGTTGTCCTGCCACATGCCCAGAGTTTACATTCCGCCTGTTGGTCAACAGCACAAGAACAAGAAAGAACTGAAGCATGGAGTATCTAAACACTTACAGCTCAGAATCCCCTAGAATCAGCTGCATTATTCAGACTCTGTGCTACTTGGTTACATACCATCTTTTCATTACCGTAGGTAAGTTCATTCCCTATGACAATTTGCTCATCAAACCAGAGGCTAGTGGTGTGGGTAAAAGCAAGTAATTTCCTTTCTCTTTGAAAGTAAAATTTCAAATCTGCTTGAAGTTTTGGGATGGAAAGAACAGGCTTCCTTGAAATCTGAAATGCCATGAGCATTGCTTCCAAGGCGGGCAGCTTTGAAGATCATTTGGGAACTTGAAATTGGTTTCAGGTTATCTAAAGGTGAGGGGACATGCCTCAGTCTACAGGATTTACTCAAATACAAATGTGTATTTTCTATCACATCGGATAACATCAAAGATTTCTCATCACTGTTCTTTCTTTAATAATGGCATCTCAAGGGTGCATGCTGTTTGAAGTTTGCAGTGATTTTGCTTTTATAATAGAATTCACTGTGGTTTGGGAGCCAGAGTGCAGGAAAGTAATTAGTGTGCTATACCACGAAGTCTTATAATGAGTACAAATATGTACTTGTTAATAGGGAGTTTCAGGTGATTTTAGAAACCCGGATGCAAATACCATTCTGTGATTGGGTCCCTGTGAGGCTACCCATGATTATGGCAATAAAATCTGTTAATTGACATTTATACCTTATCTTTAGCATGATTTTAATTTCTTAATAGTGGTCAGGCACTACAAATAGTGTTTTTCTAGAGTTTATTATAAAGCAACCACAAATACATAATAATCCTCTTGTACAATAATTTAAAACAAGGTCCACATTTCCCCAGAAATGCAATATGTAATGCTGCCAACAAATATGAAAAATCCACTATTGTCAAAAAGTATGTCAAGTTCCAGAAATGTAAAGATGGATCAAACAGTTCACCTACTGTTCATTTATATTATTAGGTGATATTCAAAAAATCATGCATCATCTTAAAATATTTTTTTAAACATGGTCATCCCATCTGTACCTTCTGATACCTTATGCATATTTCCCTAAAAAGCATCCTAACCCCATGTTAGACTTAGTTGTTATGTGTGCATGAGCTATATTTCTCATTCCTCCCAATTACTTTATCTTTCATATGGCAAAATGAAGTTTTGAAACATCATGTTGTGCAGACTTCTTCCAGCCCTTTCCCTGTTGGGAGAAGAGCTGCAGAGGTCATTCGACCAAATCTCATTATAGTACACTCACAGTGAGGACATGGATTGGTGGGAAATGTACAAGGCTACAGGTAGGGATGCTCTGGAATATATTACAACATTTTATTGAATTAGTGTGGTCTCTTTTTCATGCTTTCTTCCAGAGCTTAATCCTGTTAGTTTTTACTAATATGATCTAAAATATGAAACATATCAGTTCTAGATGTCTTACTATAAATTAAATCACACAAAATACCATCATTATTTAAAAGGCTGTCATACTATGAAAACTGATAATTATTTTAACTTATACTTCACTAAAATAATCAAAATATGATAACTTGAAAGGCAGAACTTTACAGTGAAGACATTGTTTCATGTTACATAAGGTCATCTGACAACCTTTAAAACTATATCAGGAAAAGGAGACACTGTAAACACATAATTTACAAATATTTCTCTGAAATGTTTGCTTTTTTAATATAATAATTAATACATAATTTTAATATATTAAATATTTAAAATATAATAGTTAACATGTAAACAGGCTATCTAATTTTTAATATAATATTGATTTTAAT